ACCTTCCACATGGCTCCTGTAGGATTTGTTCATTGATATGTCACAATAAAGTGATTTTTCTGTGTACTTACATTATTAATATCTACACTCTCTCTTGTACAGCTACTAACCTATAATTACTACTACTACTACTAGCCGCTCAATTATTTTTAGTTTTTACCGTGTCCTTCTTGCAAGGTCCGCGTTCGATTCCCGATAATCTTTATATTTGTGGCCCCTGTGCATTCCTGAGGGAAGTTGACTGTACTCGCGAAATAATTGGACTTTTTTGTAATGATGTGTAATTAATAGTTTATCTAAGCCTAGTACAGAGTTTCGTAGTTACGATTGCAAGGTCCGCGTTCGATTCCCGATAATCCCAGTGGCTACATGGCCAGTCCTTTCACCCTGTGCCCAAGCATCACCTTCTTGTAATTAACCTACTTTATTCCTATACGAAACATGCTCGCCCTCTTAACATACAAACTTTTAACTTCAAGTACAATGTCTCAAATGTTTCTTACATTATTATGTTTAGTTTTTAAGAATCTAAATTATATTCTACGCACGTCTCATCATTGTAATTTTAATATATAAGATTGTCTATAAATGGCTAATTATTCAAATTTTATGACCGTGTTCAGTACTACTTACTGATTAAATTTTGTTTGTGGAGAGGAAGGAAAGGGATTCAATATAGTTTATGAAATACAGTTTTCCAGAAAATTATAACAATACATAATACGTATTTTACACAAACATACGTATACGATTAGCTATACACATTTGTAAACTTACTGTACACGTATTGAAAGGTAATACAAAATCATACCCCAGATATGAAAACAATACAGCCAAATTAAAAGTACCAGCATTAAAAAGCTTGAAGTGAAAAAAAGAAGCTGTTCTTACATAAATCAGGTAAATATGACTATATAGCTCTACCCAAATTGGCCTCGAACGCAATTGCCTCCTCAAAATTCCTTTCAAGTTAGAAAAAAAACAAAATACGACTCGTACAATAGTGAAGAATCGTACTTGCAGTAGCCTGGCCATCACGTCCCACAGTAATACCTTGTGCTACACACTAGTGTACTACAGACCTCCCTCCCTCAGCGTACCTCACACCACACTCCATTCACTATAATTGCGCTAATTTTACCTGTCACATCTATACAGAGGGTGAATGCGGCAAATCTCCTACCCTCGTTACATCGCCAAATGTATTACTGGCCCCCACAACCTGCCAAGCTAAAGCCTAGCCACTAGCACGCTCATCTCCCGCTGGGTTCACCTCTCTTGCTTGGGCTTGCCTGGACCACGCTAAATTAATTCACTTTTTTCTGGCGGTAATTTTTTCTTTTCATATTATTTTTGTTTTTACGAATATACTATGTTATAAAACATTTATATTTTTGTCTAATTGATTATTTACTAAGTTGTATTCTATTCATGTTCTTTTGTGGTAAAGGAAAATGATTTAAATGCAGCGAGAAAAATTGGCCGACCAGGACCAACAGCCGAATAAGAAAGACTTGATGAACTTGTCCCTAGAGTAACGTCAATGGTAAGGTTTCCTTGCAGCGGCATGTAGGTTCTATAGAAATAATATTTGCACAAAGTCTGTCAGTGTCAGGTTAAACAACTGGCTGACCTCCACACAAGCAGAACTAGCAGCATTACATTTAGCAACCAGCACATTAAAAAATATTGGAGGAGGAATAATATTCTGCGATTCAAAGTCTGCTCTTCAAGCAATCGAAAACTTCTCTTGGAAGATCGACAGCAAGAACCTCATACTCCCAATTATAAATGACCTAATTGATGCACAGAGTAAAGGGTCTCGAATTTCCTTTGTATGGATACCTTCACACATAAATATAACCCATCATAATGAGACAGACATTGCAGCCAAATTAGCGTGTAACAAGTTTGAAGTTGAATTAGATCTAGGTATCCCTATCTCTGCTGTCAAAACTGTATTGGTCCAAACATTCAGATCTGATAGGAAAGAACTTACTGACTCCCAACGACCTGAAAGTACTAGTATAAAAAGCTATGATTTGTTCAGATCTGAAACCTACATCTATGGACAGCACAAAACGTCCACTAGACTGTGCGACACAGTGGTTGCAAGGATCAGGTTGGGTTACCGTTACCTGTGGCAGGTGGCTGCAGGTGACGGGTCTCCCAATCCTGAGCACTCCAGTTGCAAACTCTGTGAGCAGGAACTACGGCATGATCTCCCGCACTACATCACTGAATGCCCAATTATTAGACCTTTCAGACCAGTTGGCATGAGGTACCTGGAGCTTTGCAATTACTTTATTCACTCTCGTATTCTTGAAGATATCCTCACAGTATACCCAAAATTTGCCAGTGCAGGCTATTAAACACATGACTCTGTATGACTAACCATCCTGCGAGATGGGGACTTGTATTACCACTGCTACCTTATTCAATCTTGTGTTGTTGATATCCTCAAAATGCATCCGGAGTCTGCCAGTGCAGACCGCTAATCACATGCCTCTGTATGACTAACCATCCTGTGTGATGGGGATTTTATAGCATCACCTAGTTAGTTTTTTTTGACACACTGTACTCCATTTCATATAGTCTAGGGTAGCTGCACTAATGCAGATGTACCTAATATGTTAATAAAAAAAAAAAAACTTGTCAGGTTGGGGAGTAAGAATAGGAGAGAGTTCAATATTAAAATAGTATGGTTTCGAATTTATTTATTTGCTAACCTTTATTTCATATAGCGCGTATGCACTATAAAATACTGTACTGCCTTCTGTAGCAAATAAAATAATAAAAAATACTGTACTGCCTTCAGTAGCAAATAAAATAATCACGCAGCTAAAAAAAATCATACCATACCTTTCTCTATCGATAACCTAGCAGCCCTAATATTATGTAACCTTTTCAAGAAATGAATACCATCAAATTTAATAGTTACAGATAATTTTTTACAATATTTTATATAAATTATCCACTTAGTTAAAGAATCAGATATGGCGCTTATTTAACAACAGAATAAAATTAAAAGATTTGGCAAATATATATATATATATATATATATATATATATATATATATATATATATATATATATATATATATATATATATATATATATATATATATATATATATATATATATAATTATAAACCTAAATAGCACAGAGGCATCACTTTCAAATACTTTAAAGTTCCAAATGCCCTTGCTGGGTCTAGAACCTCTGCCCGCGTGATGTAAAGTACTGTACCACTGACTGTACCGAGTGCTGTACCACACAAGAGCATGGGAGAGTCTATATGAACTCCTGTAACCCCATGTCCGAGTGCATTCGGGTTATGTGGTCAACTATTTCACCTAGTCCAGGTTTCTTTTAGTCAGCCAAGAAACGCTGCGCACACAACAAGGCTCTATCATGTACCACATAATATCTACGCACAAACAGACATCCGTCAGAGATATTCTGACGAAGTAAAACTAAAATAATCGACAGATAGAACGACCACAGAAGATGAGACATTGCCAAGGCAGTATTTTATCACACGCTCTTATCAACTATCAACAGCAAGTTTACACTTGGGTACATTTTATTATGATCGAACCCAAGGCATTATGCTGCCACCTCACACCAACTGCCCCGGCGGACAAGACTGGACCTTACCTCATACCTCAAGGACCTCATCTTGCCCTACATAGTGTACTCATCTTACCCTACATAGCTTACTCATCTTGCCCTCCATAGTGTACCCATCTTACCCTACATAGTGCACTCATCTTACCCTACATAGCTTACTCATCTTGCCCTACATAGTGTACTCATCTCACCCTACATAGTGTACCCATCTTACCCTACATAGTGTACTCATCTCATCTTGAGGTTATCTTGAGATGATTTCGGGGCTTTAGTGTCCCTTTAGTGTTTAGAGGGAGCCGGTCGGCCGAGCGGACAGCACGCTGGACTTGTGATCCTGTGGTCCCGGGTTCGATCCCGAGCGCCGGCGAGAAACAATGGGCAGAGTTTCTTTCACCCTATGCCCCTGTTACCTAGCAGTAAAATAGGTACCTGGGTGTTAGTCAGCTGTCACGGGCTGCTTCCTGGGGGTGGAGGCCTGGTCGAGGACCGGGCCGCGGGGACACTAAAGCCCCGAAATCATCTCAAGATAACCTATAACCTCCCCGCGGCCCGGTCTTCGACCAGGCCTCCACCCCCCCTTCCGGAAGCAGCCTGTGACAGCTGACTAACACCTAGGCACCTATTTTACTGCTAGGTAACAGGGGCATAGGGTGAAAGAAACTCTGCCCATTGTTTCTCGCCGGCGCCCGGGATCGAACCCGGGACCACAGGATCACAAGTCCAGCGTGCTGTCCGCTCGACCACCGGCTCCCCTGAAGTCTATATCATAACATCAACTCTACAAAAAATACATAGGCGTCATAGGCTTCTTAAACAATGTTTTATATAGAATTAAAGAATTCAAATAACTTAAGTCCACAAAGGATTTTTTCTTCTACAAACCAGGAAAACACTTAACATTTATACAAGTCTTCTGATTTACGCAAGTTTGAAATCATTTTTGTTTTCATTTGTTGCTTATCATTCAGAAAAAAAAACATTAAACATTGTATTTCTCTGCAGATTCCCTGTTCTTTATATATTTAGTATATATAAAAGGCAAGTTTTCAATATTCTCAAATGTTCAGCACATTACATAGAGAGGTCGGCCAGTTATGTTAGCAGTCTCATCACAGACTTGCAAAATCAATTGAAGAAAAAACATGAAGGCAAATTGGCCTTATATTTATTATATAACACGATCTGACACTGTCGTTATAATAGAAATTGATTCCCGAGGTCTATATTGCCAGCCGAACGCTTCATGGGATATGAAATGCACATTATAGCGTCACTATAATCGCTATAGCCATATTCCTCTGAACGCATTAGCGTCACTAATTCTATATACTTATAAACTAAAGTAAAGGGCGATTTTGGTACTTACTGGCGATGCCTTGTAAGCTCATAGAGTCGTAGTGGCGCCACATGCCGTGGTTCATCTGGGCGTAGGCTGGGTACGAACTGAAGGGCGCCTGTAGGCTCTGGCTCCCAGCCCCTTGAAGGTACCCCTCACGCCCACAGTTGAAGCCCAGCGGCGTGGAGAAGGTTTGATCCGTGGGCGGGGCTGTGGGCGCCAGAGCGGTGTGGGCGGGAGACTGCCACATGGACGGTGACGGGGTGGAGGGCTGAACGAGCTGGGCGGAGTACGAGTTATAGGGGAGCATGTGGGTGTGGGCGTGGGAGGTGTACATGGTCGGGGACAGGAGGTTTTGGCCCCCCTCCTGGCCGTAGCCGCCCGCGCCTCCAGGGGGAAACATACCCGGCAGCTCCACCCCGGCTGTGTTTGCCCAGGGGGGCTCCTTGGACTCTCCAATACCTTCCCGCCTCACTCTCACTCCACGCTCACCTACCACTCTCACGCGGCCCTTCGAGGAGGTTCTTCTCTCTCCTCCGGAGTGAAAGGTCAGGGGGGAGAAGTGACGGTATAACGCTATTGACAACGATTATAGGAACACATCGAAGCTCACTTACACAACAAGACTTGTAGAAGGCACAGCGGTATGCCACTTGTGGTTCGCTAATCTACCACACGGATGAACTGAATGACAAGTTTTCACTTCACACAAATAATGTTTCAGTATTTGGGAAAGAATGTGACGAGAACGTTCACTATACGGCCAGTAAAGACTAGAAACGTTCACTATATGTATAAATAATAAACCACGATCACCGACAGTTGAAAAAACACGATCAACATTCACTATATAGGGAGAAGGCACGGGTAGCGTTCTGAGTAGGCAATAAAGGCACGTCCCACGTTCAGTGTACGTTCAGAAGGCACGATAAATGTTCACAGCGGAGGGGTAAGGCACGTCGGCGCTCAGTGTATGTTCTACAGAACGTTGGATTCGGGTCTCTAGTGTACGTTCAGAAGGCACGAGAATTGTTCACAGCAAAAGGGGAAGGCACATCGGGCGTCCAGTGAACGTTCAGAAGTCACGATGAACGTTAACACCGGGGGAATAAAGATGACGTTGGACGTCCAGTGAACGTTCAGAAGGCACGGGGAACGTTCAGAGATGGGCCACCTGGGCGCGAAGAACGTTCACAGCAGGAGGGATGGGGTCACTTGGTCTTGGCGGGCACTGTGTGGGCACTGTATGGGCGCTGTGTGGGCACGTCTTGTGTACTACTATGGCACAGCTTGGCTCCCCTCTGCTCTGGCTCCTGTAAAGATAAGAAATATCAAGTTAAAATTTGTTACCAATAGGCTGCAATGCATCGAACATGATAACATTAAAAAAAAACCTAACCAGTGCTTTTTGTTTTAGCTAGACAAACATTTTTTTTTAAACAAGCCGTCGGCTTCCTGTCCTCGTCGAGGCCACTGGAGAAATAGTGGCCCTCAGGTAAATTCAGGTAAAATTCTGGTAAAAATAATGTGAGCGTACAACAATAACCGATCGAATATGTATATAGCAATCAATAACAACATTCATTTCTGGAGGTTAGCCTCATAGGCTAACCTCCTATAGCCATTTCTGGCAGTTAGCCTCATCAGTGTTATAGTTGATTGTGGTCATCATGACCAACAACAATAAATATAGACCTAGATAAAACTACTAAACAGGGGAGCTAGGCTAAAATACTCAACTAAACAGGGAAGAGCTAGGATAAAACGCTTCACTAAACAGGGGAGCTAGGCTAAAAAAAAAAACTAAACAGGGGGGAGCTAGGCTAAAACACTCCACTAAACAGGGGAGCTAGGCTAAAACACTCCACTAAACAGGGGAGCTAGGCTAAAATACTCCACTAAACAGGGGGAGCTACAGCGCCAAGATAATATTACATATCACATTCCACTGCAGCATGAATTACTTAACCAATTCACGTGACATAACACAGTGAAGATAACGAATCCACTTCGTTAATTACAGCAATTATACTGCAGTAGACTAGCGGTCTAACTTTATCTTCAACCCCCTATCATATTATGATCAACGTAATTTTGATGTGTAGGTTCAATTAATATTCATGCCGAATTATATCGTCAGGATAGGCCTATGGGAATTTATTATCTAAATAATATCATAGTTCTCCCCCGATAGTTCATTGTAAAGGCTTACTGTACTTGTTTTTTCCAGAACAAGATCAGCAAATAATTTTGCTTGGGTTTATAATTGTAGGGAGAGGCAGTGTATCAGACTGCTTGCTCTTAGGCCTCCAAGCCAAGTGCTAGGCTGTCCACTCTGTCACCCATTCAGTTATAATCCAAAGTTAACGGTGTTTAACCGACCGCGTCACACTACAAAGGTGAAGCCTGGCTGGAGTCTGGCTGCACAAAGATGAACCATGAAGGAACGACACCCGTTCGTTCCACACCTGGCCAGGTTTTCGAACCTGGTCCACTCCCCCAATGCGAGTGGAGTAGAGTGCCAGCCACCGCACCACACCGGGGGACTGAGCCCTGGGGTCAGAGCGTCCTCTAAGCTCTAGACACTGTGGCTCAAGAGAGAGAAAAGCACCAAAATGTTTGATGCAATTACGTCAGAGGCTGAAAAGGACTACACTGATATACATAATACGATTAAACAAATTCTAAATACATGGCAAAGAGATGGTGCTGGGCCATTGCGCCAGGCAGGCAGGCAGGCAGTCAAGCAAGCACGATTAAGAGTCATCTGTGGCCTTGGTTATCAGGGAGGAGGCGGTAAGGCATGCAGGCACAGAGCAAGCGTTGGTGGAGTGACCTCAGCTGACAAGCACACATATGCTTGCAATCCTTGGGGGCTGTAGCAGCTGTTTGCACAAGGGAGCAGGTCTTCGGCGTCCTAGCACCTAGCAAACCTGGATGCAAGCACTCGCTGGTAGACGATTTTGCAAATAGTAAAGGAGTGAACCTTTAAGTTGGAAAAGGAGGGAACTTAGTAACTACAAAGGGAGACAGCACAGCAAACCAAGAAACAGGAATTGCAAAGAGTGTGGTTTTTCCCGTAAAAAAACCAGGCGTTCAAAATGAGTAAGTAGACAGCAACAGCAGCATCAGCGAGGCGCAAGCTGCTGCAAGCTGCTGCAAGCAGTGTCCTTGGCCGTCCACCAGAGTATGCATGACACTATTATATAGGAGACAGTAATGGCAGAGGCTTCCAGCTCCCTGATTACACAGCCGGCGTCCATCACCCCCACACGAGTCTAAGCGACGCAAATGATATCTGACGCCCCGCAGAGTGACTGGTGGCGAGGGAGGGGTGTCGGGTGGTGTTAGTGGTGCTAGGTGATGGTGCTGAGAACATCCTTACACGGTGTTACGGTGCTGCTAAGCTTGTCAGGTAGTAATACATGGTGCTAAATGGTATCGGAGTGATGCTAGAGATGTTAGGTGGTGCTGAAGTATATTAGGTGGTGTTGGAGGGGCACTGAAGTATATTAGGTGGTGTTGGAGTGGTACTGAAGTATATTAGGTGGTGTTGGAGTGGTACTGAAGTATATTAGGTGGTGTTGGAGTGGTACTGAAGTATATTAGGTGGTGTTGGAGTGGTACTGAAGTATATTAAGTGGTGTTGGAGTGGTACTGAAGTATATTAGGTGGTGTTGGAGTGTTACTGAAGTATATTAAGTGGTGTTGGCGGGGCACTGAAGTATATTAGGTGGTGTTGGCGGGGCACTGAAGTATATTAGGTGGTGTTGGAGTGTTAAGAGGGATGCCGGGTGGAGTTAAGGAATGTGATTTTAAGAAATGTCACGCGATGACCACTACCCATACGGAGTGTCCGACGATGACAATTAATACATCCAGGTGTTACACGATGCCAAATATGTATTTTGATATTGTTAAGACCTGCCATGATGAGTAGTCCATGGTGGAACGTCACTCAGCCCGAGTGAACACACTAGCCATAACAGCATGTAGATGCAACCCGTCCTCTTTAAAAATAACCTCGTATGCGCACTATGGCCAAATTTGGACGTAATTTGAAATGAAATCGGTTGGAGGCAAACCGGGAGTCCTCCCCTAATATTTGACAAACGAAGTAATAGTAGATGTAACAGCAGCAGGACACATAATGCTAACAGCAACAGTTTAATATAAACGTGTGTCTTGGAGAACACAAATAAAACAATTTCAATAATATATAATTACAAAATAACATAATGTACGTATAGTGGTAATACACGTTCTGATGGCGCGATTTTTAATATGATAATGTTCGTAACATAGCAGTAAAGGAAACAGTATACTGTCGTACACAGAGAGGTGTACGACGGGTGTACACCTATACCTATGTGCTCGCCATATGCACACTTAGGTTGCCTTACTTCTTTAATATGTTTATGACTAAAGTATACTTGCTGTTTGTTCAGTATAAAGCTCTTGTTTGCCTTAATACTTATCACTGTTGCGACACATGGTATATCACCAGTGTATGCTGTATGTATGCGTGATGCCATCAAATTGTATTTTGTTGTATGAATGTGCCTGAGGACCTGATCCCATTGTAAATGCATCTTTGACAACCTATTAGTATAGTTCGGGGTGAAATCAGTAGCATCCGGATAAAGAAAACGAAGTTCACTGCCAAGATAAAAAAAACTGTTGATATCTCTAATTTCATTTATTCAATTAAATATTAATATTTCCATTTGGTTTCAAATAAGTATTGTTCAGCTCACAAATACATATAAATTTACATATAAATACATAGATTGGTGTTGGGATTGAGGCCACTTCAGTTGCTTGGTGACCAACCAGAAAAATATACTTTATCTTTCTGGTTGTATACTAAAGTATACTAAAGATATACTTTAGTCCAGGACTAAAGTATATCTAGTCTAAACACACCTATTGGTGTATACTTAACGGGGTTGACAGCTGGGCCTGGCTATCTAAACCAGCTGATTTCTGTTTACATTAATCAGCTGTTCTTGTTGACACTGGTCAGCTGATGTTGGGGTAGTAAGTTGTTGCTGTTTTTAAAGGTAGCTGCAGTTGTTAGTTAGTGGTAGCAGTTGTTAGGTGATGTTAGCGGTGTTAGTCCTAGTTAACTATTCTTGTTAGTAGTGTTTGTTGATATTGGTCGTGGTGTTAATAGCTGTTTATTAGTGATTATCAGTGTATATTGGCGATTATTGATAATTAATAGCTGATAATGGCGATTATTGATGATTACTAGCTGATAATGGAGATTATTGATCATGTTTATTGTGCCGGACCAACCGGGCTGTGGTGGATACGTGGGCCTGCGGGCCGCTCCAAGCAACAACAGCCTGTTGGAACAAGCTCTCACAAGTCAAACCGGGTTTGGGGAGTAGAAGACCTCCCAAAACCCCATCAAGCAGGTATCAAGGTATCAAGGTACTAGCTGATATTGGCGATTATTGATGTTGATTTTCTTTAGTTGATATCAGTGGTTGTTAATTGTTATCTGTTATTTTATATTTTTTTACGATTTGTAATTGATGTCATTAGCTGTTTGCTTAAGTTGTTGTTGTTGGTTTCAGTGTCAAAGTCGATACTGTTTGTTAGTTGATCTTGTGGTCAGTTGATGGTGATTGTCAGTTGATGCTGATGATTATTAGTTGATACTCGTGATTGTTAGTTGAGGCATTAGTTAACTAATGTATGGGCGACTGTGAATGTTAACTAATGTATGGGTGATTGTGAATGTTAACTAATGTATGGGTGATTGTGAATGTTAACTAATGTATGGGTGATTGTGAATGTTAACTAATGTATGGGTGATTGTGAATGTTAACTAATGTATGGGTGACTGTGAATGTGAACTAATGTATGGGTGATTGTGTGAATGTTAACTATTGTATGGGTGAGTTTAAATTAATAATTGAAAGTGTTAGCTGATGTTTAGGACCTTTTTACCTACATTCACCGTTATCACTATATAAACAATATTACCAGAGAAGTAGTAATTACTTTGCATTTGTCAGGGTTAAAGTCTAGCAACCATATATCCGAGTGTAAGTGAAGTGCACCCAGATGCTTCTCACTGATATTATATCGTCCGCAAAGAGGAATATGAATGTTTCAATTACCACTATCAGGTCGTTGATATTAATTAAGTAATTGAGATCTACACAATGAACAACTTTAATGGGATAATGTAATCACTTAAAATAGGGCAAGGAATTATCAGGAGAAAGAGCCGAACCATTACGACGAAAAAGCATTGGGATCAGGATAAGGATTTAGAATGGGACGGGGGGAAAG